CAGGTTCAAGTCCCGGCTCTGCCAGCTGCTAGCCCAGGGCGTGGGTGAGGGAGCCTCCGCTGCCCCGAGGGGCGGGGATGAGTCATGGGGAGCACTCTCGCGGGGGTCCCCGAGTTGGCCCTGAGTGAACCCCGACAGGACTGGGGAAGCCCCTAGTAATTGGGACTGTTGGTGGCACGGTCACGGGTATTTTGCGGGTACAACTCCCTTTTCTGTGCTCTCTCTCTGTCTCTGTGACAGTCTTCGGTTTTCTCTTTCTCTCTCTGGCTCTTTTCTTCCTTCATTCCCCCCATCCCTGCCCAGGCTTTTCCCTTAAGACATGCCTGTGTCACCGTCTGTACTCCTGCCCCATTTTTGTCCCTTTTCCTGTCTCCCCGACCCCCAACCCCCAGCCTTGACTTGGAGACTCGAGACCCCGTCCTCCTCACACCCACTGCCGTTGCCCGCAGGCCCTGGTACTGCCCAGCCCGCGCCCCTACGTCCGGGTGGACGGCGCCGTGGCCCCTGACCACTGGCTGGACCCCAGCGCCGTGTGGGAGGTGAAATGCGCTGACCTGTCCCTGTCCCCCATCTACCCCGCTGCCCGGGGCCTGGTGAGTAGCCGGGTCCCCGCGGGCTGAAGGCAGCAGGAGGGACCTGGGGTCGAGCTTCTGGATGGGAGATGGGGAGCAGGACGGGAGATGGGGCCCACGCCTGTGCCCGGGCTTTAGTAACTAGGAGAGCTTGAGCTCACATTTTTTTGGGCATCCAACAACGGGCTCCAAGTCTCAATGTAAAAAAAAAAAAAAGAAAGAAATTCCACAGGTGCAGAAAGTAGACACTGAAGTTATTTCCTTTAATACCCATAAGCTCACATTCGGCTCCTCGCGTTTTTGAAAACACAGTTCTCCCAAACATAAAGCTTGGGACACTTCCTGCTGGGCAGTGACGTCGGCTGGGGCCCATCTTTCCGGACCGTAATTCATTTTCACGCTGCCAGGTTTTTAAATCCCCAGGCTGATCTCTCTGACCAGTGGCTCCGGCCCCCAGGCCAGCTCCACGGTCGGCCCGGCACTAGGGGAGGCTTGAGTTCAAAATGTGCTTCCTTTGCGATCCCCTCGGACCCTTCAGAATCTAGCTAGCGTGTGCTTCTCTGATTGGGAGTGGACTTCCAATTAAAGGCAGAACTCGGGTTTGTTTTTTTACCCAAGATATAGTTATTTTAGAGAGAGAGCGCAGGGGTGGGGGGTGCAGAGGGCGAGAATCTCAAGCAGATTCAGCAGAGCGCAGAGCCGGCGCAGGGCTCGACCTCACGACCCTGAGGTCGTGACCTGAGCCCAAACCAAGCATTGGACGCTCAGCCAACTGAGCCCCCCAGGGCGCCCCAGAACTCGCATTTTTACATCAAATTTCTGTCTTAACATTTCTCGCTCAGGCTCCCTGTTAGGCAGTCAGGGTCCCTCGGTGGCAGGAGCGGCGTAGACGGCGTAGACGGAGCTTCCGAGCGAAGCAGGCGCCCTGCTCGCAGGCCCAGCCCTGCCTCACACCCTCCCATCCTCACGAAGCACTGAGCGAGACCAGCCTGCAGCTGGGTCGAGCCCGCCCTGCAGCTGGGTGGGGGGGTAGAGCCCCGGAGCCGAGGGCGCTGGGCCAGGGTCACACAGCCCCTGAGCTGGGAGCTGGGATTTGAACTGCGCTGTCTGGTTCTCAAACCTATCCCGGGTCTCTGCTGCCCTGTCCCCCGGTGACAATAGGACGGCAGCCGAGGTCCCAGCTGCTGGCTCTTAAGCTGTCATTGTGCTCCAAGTGCTTTATTCCCTTATTCAGTCTTGACAACCCATTGCTTGGCCCCGTTGTATGGATCAGGAAACCGAGGCCAGAGGGCGGGTGCGGGGAGGAGACCCGGGCTGGGGACCTGCTGCTGGGAGCGGCCTGTGGGCTGGACCCCAGGAGCATCTCCACCCTCGCCCCCTCCCCCAGGTGGATGGTGAGAAGGGGATCTCCCTTCGTTTTCCTCGGTTTATCCGCGTCCGTGAAGACAAGAAGCCAGAGGAGGCCACCACCAGCGCCCAGGTGAGGCCTCAGCCGGGGTGGGCTTGCCTGGCCACACCAGCTTCTCAGTGGAGGGTTCTGGAACTGAGGTTGGGGGACAGCCCTGGGGCTTCTGAGCCCCTCTGCCACCGCCCGCTCTCTGCAGGTGGCGTCGCTGTACAGGAAGCAGAGTCAGATTCAGAATCAGCAGGGCGTGGACCTGGACTCCGACCCGGAAGATTTCTACTAGGCTCCTGCCCGCCCAGGGGCTGGGGGCCGGGGGCACGGAGGTGCAGACACGCAGATGTCCAGTTGCTCAGCAGACCTGCTGTTTGCGATCGAGGGGTGGGGGGGGTCTGGAGTGTCACAGGTGTGCATGCGTGTGCGCATGTGTGTGTGTGTGTGTGTGTGAGGGGGATGGGTTAAGCGGGATCTGGGATTTATTCGATCATTTTCTTCAATAAATAATTATTGAACACCCGGCGCCGTGTCAGGATGTGTGCTGGGCTCTGGGGTACAGCCCCAGGAACTCCCACGTGGGTGGCGTGTGACAGGCCCCGTGCCAGCACCTTCCCATACATTCTTCCACTGGGCTGGAAACATCCCGTGTCCACACGGCCAAGCTGGACAGCCACCGGCCACGCCCAACCACTGAGCCATGGTGTGTTTTATTTCATTTTCATGAATTTTTCTGTGAGCAGCCACATGCCGTTAGGGGCTATTGTAGGAGACAGCGGTGGCCTTGACCATGAATGTTAACTCCGGTAACCCGCAGCAGTCCTGCCAGGCAGGCAGTGGGGGTGCGGGGGGGCACAGAGCAGGGATTGGGCATCCAGGCCCACACCGGGGTTCTGACCCGGCAGTCCGGCTCCAGGCCCCATCCTCGTGGGAGACAGTGCAGTGACTGTGAGACCCCCTCCCCAGCTCTGCGGCCCACTGACTGGGGACTGCTAATTCTGGGGCCTGAGCCGTGAGGTTTGGTCACCCATAGATCCCCAGCCCTGTGGTTCCCTTAGGCATGAAACCCAGTCTTCCTGAGGAAAGCGGGGCAGGGGACATGCTCTTTCCCCTCCACGCCTCTGCAGACCCCTGTGAACACACCCCCCCAAGCAGCCGTGGCCGCCTGGCCCTCTGCCAGGGCTGGGCGGAATCGTCCTCACTCACCAAAGACCCTCTCAACAGTTTTTATTACCCCATTTGACAGATGGGGGCATTGAGGCAAAGGGATGGTAGTTTCCCTACATCCTCTATCTAGGAGACAGAGGGCCAGGATTTGGTCCAGGCAGTCTGCAGGAGGCCCTGTGCCCAGAGTGCCTCTCGGGGGGAGCCTCATGTGGCCCCTCGAGGGTGTGGAACCTAATCCCGCAAGCAGTGAAGGTCTGGAAGTGACAAGATCCTGCCGATGGCTGGAGATGCAGATGGTGAAGGGATGACCCCGGGGTGAGAGGTCCACGGGCTGGGGGCAGCAGCTAGAACATCTTTCCTTGGTGCGATGCTTCTAGAACTTGTCGAGACCCATCAAGGGCAGAAGGTGCTCGGAGCTGAGTCCTGGGAAGTGTGTGCAGAGCGTGGGAGGGGACAGGAGCGCTCATTCATTATTGCGCATGAATCGAATATATAATTTCGAATTGTCACATTACTGGTGATGTTCAGTTGAATCATTTGATGAAGATACGGTCTGCTCGGTGTCCCCCCTATAAAGTGACCCTCCTTTGCAGTTAGCATATTGTAAGGGGTACCTTGTGTGTTGTAAATAAATATTACCACACCTGGCACTCTTATTGCTGTCCGTATGGATTCCTGGTTTCCTCTGTTACCCTGTATGCCCTGTCGTTGTTTATTTGGATTTTCAAATTGCCCCCGATATGGCTGGGGAGCTTCTTCGGGCTGACCTCTCACCCTTTGTCAGGACCCCACAACTCTGTCCTTGCTTTACTGCCCAAGAGGTTTTAGGGTCATCTTAGACTTGCTCGTCCTGCTCCAGACACGGGAGCAGCCCAGTCTCCCAGGACTCGGGCCCTTTTCGTGGGGAATGGTATTTAGAAGTCAAGCCCCGGATGCTGGACGGGTCCTCTTAGCTCGATGACGTCCCCGTGCACCCCATGACATCTGTGTTTACTATTACGTCCCTCTCTCTGTACCGAAACCCACCAGTACAAACCTGTGTCTCCGATTCTCATCCCGATACTGCAGACTCCTCCTTTCCCCCCTCTCTGTACCCATGAGGAACGTGATTTCCCTTTCTCTGTGGTAGAACCCCGTGTGCCACTCTTCTCCCTTCCGCGTCCCCACCCCGTGCAGCGGGACTGCCCTTCTGGCCCTGACCCCGCATCCACGCCCTACACCGTGCTGCCCCCGTGAGTGGACATCCTAGGGACCTGCCTTCAACACCTTCTCACTCAGCTGCCGCTGCTCCCGCAGGGCCCGCCAGGCTCCTCTCCCCATGCCCCAACACTCTGTGCCCCACTGTCCCTCCGTGGGCACCCCCTCACTCCCGCACCCGATCTGAACTCTGGCTCCCTGTCCCGATTCCCTCCCAACCCCACCGGGAGAGACCCTCATCGCCTCCTTGGGCTTCCCTTCCCCAACCCCCTCGCTCGCTCGCCCTTAATCGCTGTGGGTGGCCACTTCCTGAAGTCGGACTGTCACCGGGCTCAGTGACCGCAGCTCCCTGAGGCCGTGGGCCGTGGGCCGCTTCACAGGCCTGGAGGCCGGCGGAGGCCCGGCTTGGAGCAAGCACCCTGCAGGCCCGCTGGAAAGCGAATCAATAGGTGCTCTCCGCTCTAATCCCCGGTTTCGAGACCATCCAGTTCTATTCTGGGGATAAAAGGTCAGAGGCTGAGACTGGCACCCCCTCCATGTCACTCAAGCCAGATGGGGAGGCAGGAACAGCTCTGATCCCTCCCCATCCTCGGGAGAGATTTCTGATCCAGCTGTCACAACTCTCGGACACTGGGACCCGGACTGAGGGAGAGGCCCGGAGAGGCAGGAAGACTTGGCGAAGGAGTGCCAGGGAAGATAAGGAAGCCCAGCCCGCCAAGGGGGACGGGAAGGAGGGGGACAAGAAGGAGGGGGAGCCGCCTTGAGCCTGGTGCCCGGTGCCCCGTGCCCTGCCCCTCCATGCAGTTTCCCATGGGCCCCGCCTGCATCTTCTTGAGGAAAGGCATCGCCGAGAAACAGCGGGTGAGGTGGCGGGCAAGGCAAAGGGAGTCCGGGGTGCGGGGTAAGAAGGGGTGTGACAGGTGCAAGGGGCCGGGGGCCGGATGGGGGGCCCAGGCAGGGGGTGCGTGCCTGAGAAGGTAGAATTCGGGGAGCTCGGTGGGCCAGTGAGGTGGGTGAGGGTGAAATCAGAAGTCAGCAGCAAAAGGGGGAGAGGGAGACCCACAAATAAAAGGGGAACTGGGCTGTCCTTGTTCGTCACCACTCATTCCTATGGACACCCAGAGCAAGGACGATGATGACACCAGCGGCCACTTCACCACGGCGCTGCTGCGTGCCCAGCCCTGTGCAAAGGGCTTTGCTTTCCCGCTGTCATTTCATCCTGTTAAGCCCACGAGGCCATGCTTGCATTCCCATTTCACAGATGCAGACGCTAAGGCTGAGTCACAAAGCCCCTGCCTTACGCAGTTACTGAGTGTCCATTCAGATCTGTTTGATTCCAGGGGGCTTACTTTTCCTTGTTAGGCTTTCAGATGACCAGAGAGAGAGAGAGGGGAGGGGGAAGGAAGGAAATGGGGAGGGGGACAATAAAAGAAGTTGGAGGGGGCTCCAAGAATAAAGGGAGAAGCCTGAGGCTGGTGGGGGTCCCCAGGTGGCATGCCACATACCCAGGGACATCCTGCCCAGACTCCACTGAACACTGGTCCCATGCAAATGGCTTCTAACCCTTGGGAGAAAGAATAGGGCCCGTAGGGAAAGAATCAAGGAGGTATAGCGGAAAGAATTTTGGCTCAGATTTCAAATCTCAACCCTCACTGGACCTGACCTTGAGAAAGTGATTCAATGTCTCCCTGCCCCCGGGAAGGGCTCTGCCACTTAGGAGCCGGGTGACCTCTGGCCATTTCCTTAATCTCTCTGTTCCTCAGCTTCCTCTTAAGGAAGATGGGAATGCTGTTTGGTCCTACCTCCCGGGGTGGTTCTGAGATTTAAATGACATTGGCGCTCAGAGCACGTTAGCTGGGATTCCGAGCCTCGTTTTCTTTTTGGATGCCGTGGCATCGAAAGCCTCTTGCAGCACAATGGGAGGGATGTCTGTTCAGGAAAGACAGAGGGAGAGAGTTCAAGATTCCAGGATAGGAGAGAGGAAAGGGGAAGTGATGAGAAAGAGGGCGAGAAGCCATCAGGGGTGGGAGTCAGGAGGTGGGAGAAGGAAGAGGAGGGCGGGGTGGGGAGAGACAGGAAAGGGAAGGGGTTGCTCGGAGGAGGGAGGGGACACGTTAAGAGAAGTGGATATTGGCTCCCTGACCCTCTCCAAATTCCCTCTCCCTGCATTCCTTTCCAGGAAAGACCCCTGGGACAAGATGAGATCGAAGGTAACCTCTGTCCCCGAATGCCACCTCATTGTCATCCACCCCTAGGCTTCTCCCTGTGCATCTCAGGGTAGACCCTTCCCACGCAAGCTTCATCCCCCTCTCTCTTCCCACTCAGCCGTGATTTTGTGCAACTCCTTCTCATGCTCACTTAGGAGCCTCCCAAAGTATTTAGAAGACATGCCCATTCCTAAGTATCTCAGAGACCCAGGAGAGACACATGCATGAGTTTTGGGGGGGGGGTTGTTTATTAATTTTTTAATTTTTTTATAAACATATAATGTATTTTTATCCCCAGGGGTACAGGTCTGTGAATCGCCAGGTTTACACACTTCACAGCACTCACCATAGCACATACCCTCCCCAATGTCCATAACCCCACCACCCTCTCCCGACCCCCTTTCCCCAGCAACCCTCAGCCTGTTTTGTGAGGTTGAGTCTTTTATGGCTTGTCTCCCTCCCGATCCCATCTTCTTTCATTTTTTTCTTTTCCTACCCCCAAACCCTCCATGTTGCATCTCCACTTCCTCATAACAGGGAGATCATATGATAGTTGTCTTTCTCCGATTGACTTATTTCACATGCATGAGTTTTAAGTTGAATCAAAAACTTGACTTTTCTTTTGGTGGTTTGGAACTTTCGCATAATTTCAGCCCAGAATCTGGAGGACCGCCATGCCGTCGCTTTGCAGTGTCATGGATCATTTTTCTTGTACATTTTGGTCTTGCACGTTACAATCTCCAGCCACATTTCATACATCACTCCTTTTTGAAACTTTTGTTTTCAAAGATGCCTTCTCCTTTGCAAGTCTCTAGTCAGTGACTCCCTGATGGTTTCAAGGGATGCCAGTCTTCCCCATGGACTGTTTCATGCTCCCCCAAAGTTCTTCTCTCTTAACTTTTCAGAGCTTCGGGAAGCATTTCTTGAGTTCGACAAGGACAGAGATGGGTTCATCTCCTGTAAAGATTTGGGAAATCTCATGAGGATGATGGGTTACATGCCCACAGAGATGGAGCTCATTGAACTGGGCCAGCAAATCCGCATGAACTGTGAGGCCAGGGCGGGAAGAACTGCTGGGGGTGGGGGTGGGCTATGGTGGGAGGGGGAGGGATGTGAGGCTAAGCCAGAAAGAAGGAAGAGGGTAGGGGTCGCTAGGAGTCTGGAAGCAAGCACTCCAGGCTGGACTCAGGGAGGCAGTGTTGGAAGTGGATAAAAGGGTGACTCTTCGAGGCAGATTTCGGGTCAAGACCCACTTCGATCATTTACTGATGGTGGTACTTTTGAAATGTGGAGTCAGCCCCCACACTTGAGTCCATTTCCCCACCTGTCAGGTGGAGATGATGTCACTCCTTGTGGGATTGCGATAAAGGAGCTAATAATGCAGGTCAGGCTTAGCCTCCAGTAAATGGTGATTCATGGAGGTCACAACCACAACCACAAGATGCACTAGTAGAGGGCAAGCTTGGAACCCAGTTTATCACCGGAAGCAAACTTGGGATGGATTTCAGAGCTCATTTTGAGAAGGAAGCTTGGACAAAATTGCTCTGGGGTTTGCTTCCAGGTGTACCACAGAGTAAATGAGGCTAGGCATGGATGGGATCGTGTTCCTATCTGGAGGGATTTGGCTCCCACTGAATTCACTCTCCCCCTTCTACAGACCAACAGATGAGCGAACGTAGGTCTGAACCAATTAAGAGATTTGCCCAAGGTCACAGGGACAGCTAGTGACTTCCATCCCACGCACCCGGTCCACCCTGGTTGGGATTAGAGGGACTCTGTGCCCAGGTTGGCTGAGAGGGAAAGTTCTCAGAAGCAGAGAGATCAGAACAGGTCTTCCTGTTGAACACACCTCCAGACATCGAAGAGTCCAGAGGGGTCATGGGGGGTTGGTTCCTTGGCATCTCACTAGACCAGCTTCTTCTGTCCTCAGTGGGTGGCCGTGTCGACTTTGATGATTTCGTTGAGCTGATGACACCCAAACTGCTGGCCGAAACAGCAGGGATGATCGGTGTCCAGGAGATGAGAGACGCCTTCAAGGAAGTGAGTTAAGAGTTTCATGGTGCTGGTGCTTGAAGGAAACCTCAGGGTTCTATGACTGGTCTTAAGTGTGGACGGAACCCACCCAAACCAAGTTTTTTGGGAACTATAATGGGATGTATAGGGAAGGAAAATGACATCTTCCAAACACTGGCAAAGCACAAGGCCCTCTACAGACACTCTCTAGTTTAAACATCATATGGAACAGTAGGGGTAAGTGACTCCTTACCCCAGCTATGCATATGAGAACAATGAGGCTTATGGAATTTACAAATCTTACCCAAGGTCCTGCAATCCCCAGAACACACGTTAGGACCTCTAATTTCCGTGCCCTTAATGGGAAGAGGGAATCCAATAATTTGAGATCCCACAGGGGAATGCAAAGAGATAATCTGGTTTAACCCACTTGTAGAGATGCTTTAAAAATGACACCCAGGGAGGTGAGGGGCTTGCTGAAATTTGCTTTCATCCCCTAATGAAATGTGTTTCTCAGGGAGGCCTGGGTGGCTCAGTAGGTTAAGCGTCTGCCTTTGATATATAGCAGGTGTGATTGAGGAACTCATTTTTTTTTCATTTTATCTAATTTTGATTACTTTCAATTCGATTATTTTTTCAATTTTCACTTACATTCAACAGAATATAAATTCAATTTGTGTGAATTTAAAAACAAATACGCAGTTCAGTTACTGGGAAACATTCCTTTCAGAAAAACTTGGGTGTGTGGTCTACCTTTTCTTTTTTTTAAAAAAGATTTTATTTGTTTATTTGAGAGAGAGAGAGAGAGAGAGGATGAGCAGGGGCAGAGGGACAGGGAGAAGCAGTCTCCTTGCTGAGCAAAGAGCCCAACACGAGACTTGATCCCAGGACCCCAAGATCATGACCTGAACTGAAGGCAGATACTTAGCCGACTGAGCCCCCCAGGTGCCTCTGATTTGTTTTAAACAAATATGAACACAAGGCTCTGATGTATGGACCATGAGGGGATCCAGAGGACCAATGGGGGGGGGCTGTCATGATGGTCCAGGCAAGAGATGATTGTGGCTTGGGCCACGTTAGCATCGGCTGGCTAGGGAAGGATAGTTAGCTGCCCCACCTGCTTGGGATGTAGAACATATGAAATGTTCTGGTAGATCGGTAAAGTGTTTGCAGCATAGAGGTTTGAAAATAGTTTATTGATTCAGCATACCAGGTGGCAGGCACTGTTTGGGGCTGGGCATGGGGCAGTGAATGGGGCAGTGAACAAGGCAGTGCTGATGACCACCTTTGCGGAGCTGACCCGCCTGTACACCATGTGCAAAAGCACTTATCTTAATTCCTGACCCACAGTTAACTGGTCAGTAAACACTGCTCTTGGGATTGTCGTACATGTGGCTGACATCACCCCCCTGCTTCCGTCAGTTTGACGCCAATGGAGATGGAGAGATCACCCTCGGGGAGCTGCAGCAGGCCATGCAGAGGCTCCTGGGAGAGAAGCTCACGCCCCGTGAGATCTCGGAGGTTGTGCAGGAGGCTGATGTGAACGGAGACGGTACCGTCGACTTTGAAGGTGACATTACATGGGGATAGCCACTGGTAGACGCTTAACCCTCTGAGCCACCCAGGCACCCTGACAAAAGCTAAATTCTTAATCCAATATTCAAGTGCATCCATGGTCTGCCCCCCACCCACTCCACACTTCAGCAACCTCTCTCTGAGCTGCTGTGCTCTGGGGCACCCTTGGCCCCTGCTCTGTGTCCCTCAAATCCTGTTCCTTTTTCCCTGATGTTCCTTCGACTTCCTGCACCTTCCCCATCAGTGCATTCTTAGGTCTTATCCATCCCTTGGGAATCGGCACAGCAAAGCCTCTGCCAAGAAGCTTCCCTTCACCCTTAGCTGGGTGTATTAAACCCCACTCGGTAATCCTACGGATGTTTTCCTGTTCCTCTCCCTTCAGAGGGAGTAATCGCTGAAGACTTTGATGCTCTGAGTTGTGTTCGCCTTCCGGGCTGTCAAGTTCCTGGAGAGCGATGAAGGATGTTCTCTGAACCAGCCGCTGTCATTCCCCAGAGGGAAGTTTGGTAGATATTCATTGCATGACCACAACTTAGTAAATGTTTGCTGGATGCCTGCTGGATCTCACCAGGCTCAGGTGTGCAGGGGACACCACTGGAAATCTGGACAAGGTTGGAGACAGATCCCCAGGCAGGGGAGGGACAGACTGACCTCAGGACCTGGGTGGGGCCCTGGAGCTCATCTGGCATGGAGTCACGGAGCAGTCAGGGGTACCCTGCCTTCATTCCAGGCTTTGCCGCTCACCGTCCACGTGACCTCAGGCTTACTGCTCAGCCTTACTGTCCTCTGTTTGCCTATCTGTAAAAATGGTATTTTCTCCTCCAGGATTAGTTGAAAGGATGAGATCAGATAATCACAGTTATTATTGAACACTTCATGTGTCTTATAAGCAGGATCTTGTTTAACCATCTGAAAGACTATAGAAGGCTTATGGCCGTCCTGTGACTCCCAGTTTGGAGAAGAAGAAACTGAGGTACACCGGGGACTTTTCTGCAGATCCCCCATGGTTCCTGACACGCACACACAGTAAGGGCTTAAAAGTAAAGCTGGCCGCCCTTACAAATGCGCGTCTCACCAGGGACTTTTCTTTGCAGAGTTTGTGAAGATGATGTCTCGCTGAGAAGGTTCCAGAAGCCCCATACTCCCCGCCCTGGCCAATGTGGATCAAACATTTGCTGAGGACTGAATCCCCCTGGGCCCTTCCAGGAGAGAGGGTGGGAGGGGTGCGTGGTGATGGGCCCTGCAGAGAGAGCATGAGCTGAGGTTAGCCTGGAAGTGATCGCTTTGCCCGGATAGCACATACCTCTCTAGAGTGAGATTAAGAAGGAAGAGTCTACATACGGAAATGAGATTGGGACTAGGGTCAGTGCCACTCCCCCAGTTCCAAAGGTTAAGGACACCTTTTGACTTTTCATAATCCCCAATGCCTATGTCTCTTCCCCAGCGTCCTCTTGGGTCCAACTCCTGAAAAAGTTCAGCCCATAGTCCACACTTCCCCCCTTGTTGCTTCCGATCTCCTCAGTTTCTTTCCGCCAGTAAGAGGGGGCATGCCAATCTTGGGGCTACAAATGGGGTTCCTGATAAGACTGGGCTTAGAAATGGTTCATTAAAGAGGCTTTCAAAAGTGAGCTTAGCCCATTTTGTTCATTTCTCGGAAGCTCAGTCTGCTTTTTCCCTCTGGCCTCCTACTTCCTTTTCCTTGTGTAAGATACTCAGGCCACTGAATTAAATCATAAATCTGGATTACCAAGGTTTAGGGCAAGCTGATCCCCAGGGGAGTTAATCCCCTGCAAAATGTCATCAAGCAAAGGTGGAGGGGGGAGGGACGGGGAGTTCTCAAATTCCAGCTCAGCCAGGTGGTGTGGAAACCATTCCTGAGAACCCCAGCCCCCCTGCATTGGGCCACCCTGGGCACTCCGGGAGATGGCCTCTGTTAACAGGGATGTTATGCCAGCCCCCACACCCTGACACTGACTTGCACCCTGAAACCAGAGGCTCACCTCTACCTGCGGGCAGGATGCTCCAGGAATGCCAGGTCCCCAAAGTACAAGATTCGTGTCCCACCTTCCAGAAAGTTTTCCTCACATCTGAAACCCACTAAGTAGATGTATATAATGGGTCATCCAGTTCAATAGCCTCATTTCGTAAAATTAAAATTTCGTTTTTGCCCTTCCTTCCTCCCTGTCTCCTTCCCTTCCCTCCCTCCCTTCCTCCCCTTCTGTACTGCATTTATTCAACAGTGATATATGAAGTTGTTGCTGTAGGTGCTCTTCCAAGCATGGGGCTCCCTTGATGAATGAAATACACCAATCCCCACCCCCCTCCCATAGAACTTACATTATAAAGGGAGGAGACAGACATGGAACAAAATACATGATTAAATATAATCCTAGTTAGTATGGTAGAAGTTGGTAAGAGATATGGAGAAAAGTGGTGCAGGAAGGTGGTTTAAGGGGTCTGAGAACGAGGAGGAGTCCCCATTCCATGTAGGGACATCAGGGAGTCTACTGAGCACCAGGGGCGTATCCAGGGGAAGAGCACTTCCAACACAGTGTAGGGTAAATGCAAAGGCCCGGAGGCAGGAATGTAGTTGGCTGTGTTGGAGGAATGGTGAGAAGCCATGGTGGCTGGACAGAGGTAGGGGGTGGATCAGGGTTAAACCATGATGATGGATGTGGGAGGCCAGGGTAAGGCTTGAGACGAGAACCAAACCATGCCCTGACTTGGGCCTCCTGTAAAGGCTGAATGGCTGAACAAAAGGCTTAGGTCAATAAAGTCGAGCAGCCCTGAGAAAGGGTCTTCCCGCACGTTCGCTAGTCAGATAGAGACGATTTGGCCGGGGCCAGAAATTCTTGGCTGGTGCTTGCTGTCCTTGCTCGGGCTATGGACTACACCACTGTAAGACTGAGCTGCCCTTACATAAACTATGTCTTGAGTGGCCTTGAAGTCAGTACATCTGGCGCTAGAAGGTCTGCTATTGATGTCTAGGAAATAGATAATGGGAAAGCTTGAAGGATTTTCTGTGCTTGTTGCAAACTCTTTAGTAATCAACTAAAAATAGGCACTTTTCTTATGATTGTTTCTGTTACTTATAAAATGCTTCACAGCCTTGAATAAAATCAGCACTATTGGACATCCTCCTTGGTGCTCCTCCTGCCCCCATCTCTTTGTCTCTTAATTTCTTTTCAGCATCCTCTTACCCTCTCGCCGGCCGTGACAGATGGAATGTTCTAGATCTGCACTGTTATGGTAGCCACTCACCACATGTGGCTACTGAGTTTTAAACCTGGTGAGTGAGGCTGAGAAACTGAATTTTATTTTTATTCTGCTAAATCAACATTTTATCAACAATGATTTTATGAATGATGTCAGGAGGCCAAGGGGAAGGGGATTCCACATAAGCAAGGCACAGAGGCTGGAGTCGGGAATAGGGCAGGGGCTGGAGTGTACTGAGTGAGGGGGCAGAGGCAGGAAGTGTGTGAGGGAAGGCTGGAGACAAGGGCAAGGCACATGTGGGATCTGGGAGCAGGAAAGCCAGGTTTCCTGTGGTATGTTTGTATGTGATTGGCGTGTGGTGGTTCTTGAGCCATCATGGAATGAGATGTTCAGTCTTCTCCAATGTCTATGCAATGTCATTTTAGACAATCAGATTGGTACCTTGTGGCTGAATGGTTAAATCAATCCCCGATGTCTGCAGGCAGTGTGGGATAGTGGCCGCAATTGCTCAGTGTTTTATGAAAGAGGAGAAGGGGCAAGAGTGGGGAGGGGGAGAGGGAGGAGAACAATAACATGAGGACACATCTGGGCTCACAGGGAAACAGATTCTGTAATCAATTACTGATGTCTGCCACGGGCATAGGGAGGGAATAGTCAAGGTAGTATTGCAATGAATTTTCTTTTTTTTTAAATTCTTTATTTAAATTCCTATACTGTTAACATATACTGTATTATTAGTTTCAGGGGTAGTATTTAGTGATCTGTCAGTTGCATGTAACACCCAGTGCTCTTTACATCAAGTGCAATGACTTCTCTACCTTCTTTTTACTTATGAATTTATTTATTAATGATTTAACAAGTATCTATAAAAGCTCCACCCAAATCTGCCATTTCCCAGAAAGAGAGAGCAGGCTGCAATTCCTTCCTTGGGCTCCTGGGCTGAGAATCTGACCGCCCCCCCACCCCGTGAGACTCACCAATGCCGTCACCAACGCTTCCTTCACCGCATTCCTATTCCTCACCATCTCTCTCATTCCAAGAGGTACAAAGGTCAGCCCCGGGGTTAACTGTGGGCTCCCTTATTGGTGGTTATGCCACATTTCCCCTCTGTTTTTCACAAAGGACCAAGTGATCAAGCAAAATGGCAAACAAGGTATTTCTAAAAGTGATTAAACTTGAAAGACTCAATGAAAAAGACAAAGCAGGTTCTAAACTTGGTATGTCCGTCTTCCACTGAAGATATCTTTCCTCCCCTGGAAAATAAAATCACAAGCCAGCATTCAGGTAATAGGTATGCACTGACTAAAAAGCGCAATGTGAATACCAAAGTATTGTATTGATTTTCAAGACTGAGTCAGAAGATGAGGAGCTGAGACAAGAGTGATTAGACACCCCTGCCCTTCACCTGGCTCACAGGGGCTGGAAAACACTGACCATGAGCACCTCAGCCTCACCTCTACTAATAGGTTTGGTGAAAGAGGGACCTGAAGAAGATAGTTGTGCTCTGGATGTCCGCTAAAAATGTTCTTCTTTCTAGTCACAGCCTGGGGATGACTTGTGGGTGTTCTTGGTTTGGGTTTGGGTTTTGTTTTAGAGAGAGGGAGAGAGAGAGAGAGTGTGGGGGGGGGATGAGGGGAAGGGAGCACAGAGTCCAACTCAGGGCTCAGTTCATGACCCTGAGATCATGACCTGAGCCAAAATCAAGAGATGCTTAACTGACTGAGCCACCCAGGCACAACAACATGTGAGTGTTTTTAAATATCCACCTTGTTAGGATGGTACCCAGAGCCCCAAGCCCACTCCTTTGCCTCTCCTCTAGTCCAGGAAGATAATTTTCATGGCCAAGCCAAAATTCAGGAGTCATCCATAAGCCACACACATCCTAAGGGCATATAGTGCTAGAAACACGAGAGTTGTCCCCACATATGAAGGAAGGGCTTCTGTGTTTAAATCCCAGAACCACAGAGTGATAGGTCAGTAGAACCATGCAGGAGGTATAGAGAGTTTCCACAGGCCTTAGAATACTGAAGCCAAAGGAAAGAGCTGGAAGGGAGAGTGAGGTGGGTCCCATGGAGAGAGGGGAAGACTTATACGTGGAGGTGGGGGAGGGACCCACATGATGGGGAGCGGAAATGACCCCACCTTTTCCTCCACTGGCTACTTGGTGATGGGGTTAGCAGATCAACAACCTGGTGCCATCTCCTCTGGGGACTGGAGAAGTCCCGGTGGTTTCCTTTCAAGCTCATCTTTTCTTCTCATGCTCTAGAGAAATTCCATTTTCCTTGCACACCCAAGGCCTCCTGGTCCTAAAACTTGACATGGTACTTTTGGGGTCTGAAAGAGTTCATCCACCTCCTTCTAAGTCAGGACGCTGTCCCAGTCTCTCCCCACCCCCAATTCACCTCACCTCTGGGACGTGGAGCTCATCCTGTTGGGAACCACAGCGAATCATGCTGGAAGGACACAGCATTGCCCCGGGGTACATTACGCATCTCACCTTTGCATCAACAATATACCCAGGTGCGGTCCCGGTCATAGTTGTAAGACGTTGCACACCACGTAAGGTTCTGCTTTGTTCCTTTGTTGGTACAGTTAAAATAATTCTTGTTTTTATAGTTGAATGGGAAGTGGCATGGAAACCCAGGAACCAAGGAGGAAATTCCTAGGGAGAAGAAGGGATAGGACAGTAGTTATCCCTGTACCTTTTACACTATGGTGAAGTCTTAGGCTTCAGAGCCCATTCTAAGATCGAAATTGGGTCCACAGTACCTTTGCATGTGTTGTTTGGGCACTGCTCGGAGGCTCCCATTAGTGGAGAGAAATGCTGACCCAATCTTAAATTTCAGAGATTTTCTTCCCTGGGAAGCTATTTGAGTTTAGTTCCATGGGGTGTGGAATGGGGAACAAGGGCAGAGTGAAAGCACAAGGGGTCCTGGCAGGGGGAGAGACAAGGACAACATCATGTCACCAAGGGAACCAGGGAGCGGAGCGGAAAGCACGGAGAGGACGTAATACTGGGGCTCCTCTTTAATCCCAGATACTCAGTGTGTGA